GAAATCAACAGGCTTAGATGTAGGGTCAATTATCATGCTCTTAAATTTCTTCCTGAAATTGAGCAAATGTCAAATTTATTGGTCTCAAGGATGAGGAACCGCTCAGAAAGTCCAAATCCTTACATGTATGTAGCATTTTCATTTAAGACATCTGATATGCTGAATTGCTGCTATGTTGTCTCCAAATTAAACAAAACCTTGTTTTGTTCAGGGCTCTACATCTTAGGTTTGAGAAAGGGATGGTGGGCCTATCATTCTGTGATTTTGTTGGGACTAGGGAGGAGAAAACTAAAATGGCAGAATACAGACAAAAAGAATGGCCTCGACGGTATAAGGTGATCTATAACAACTTACATAATCAGCTTGTTTGATTGGTAGGAGCCAAAATTTGGCCCGGATTATTTCTTATCTTTGTAGTAACTGGCTGTGCAGAATGGATCCCATCTCTGGCAGCTCGCATTGCAGAAGCGGAAGGAGGGTCATTGTCCTCTTGACCCTGGGAAAGTGGCTGTAATTCTTCGGGCAATGGGATATCCCAAGGAGACTCAGATTTATGTTGCATCTGGTCAGGTTTATGGTGGTCAGAACCGGATGGCACCCTTACTGAACATGTTTCCAAATCTGGTACATGCTTTTTTAATTTTTTTCTATATATGAATCCTACAAAATCTCATTCTCCGGAACCACTTCTCCGTATTCAACTAAAAAAGTAGCAGGCGGCTTTTCAATTGTAACATTTGCTTATGTTAGTTAATAAAACAAGATTTTTATCAAAAAAAAAAAAGGTTAATAAACCAGGATTATCTCAGAGCCTGCACTGCGATTAGTTCGACTTGATGCTTACGAAATTGATGTGTTGTTTTTCTTTTTCAAGGAAAAATAAGTTTTGCTTAGTAAAGATGCTCATCGTAAGGCTTTTATAACAGGTTACCAAGGAAGAGTTAGCTAGTAAGGAGGAGTTGGCGGTTTTCCGGAAGCATGTAACAAGCTTAGCTGCACTCGACTTCTTGGTCTGTCTAAAATCTGATTTGTTCGTAATGACCCATGGAGGTAATTTTGCTAAATTGATTATTGGGGCGAGAAGGTACATGGGTCATCGTAAAAAATCGATAAAACCAGACAAGGGACTATTCCTATAAAAAAAAACGAGACAAGGGACTTATGTCTAAATCTTTTGGGGATCCTTACATGGGATGGGCAACTTTTGTAGAAGATGTAGTCATCACCCACCAAACCCGAACCGGATTGCCAGAAGAGACCTTCCCTAACTATGACCTTTGGGAAAATCCCCTAACTCCTTGTATGTGTAAAGCATGATAGCCACTTTTATTCTTCTCATTACTTAATGATTCTTGTCGAGTTTCATAGAAAGGAAACTGCATCATATCTGCATTTAACAAATGAAGATCCCTTTTATTCAAAATCTTTAAGGGAGGGAAAAAGGCCGAGTGCCAGACAGACCAATAAACTTTCTTAGCCTAGAAAAAGTACTAGACAGGATAGTGTCTGATCGATGGAGGACTCGGAATTGACATCACGAGGACTGCCGATGCTGAGACCAACCTGCAGCACTAGCAATTGTCTCCAAAAGCTACAGGTAATTTTAACCGAACCTCTGCCCCCTTGGTTTATCGATTTTAGCATAGTTCGTTTGTCGAAGACAGTAGAACATTTTGTATCTTCAAGTACCTACCAGGACAGCGTCACGTAAAATATTAGTGAACTTTAGAAAAGGAAAGCATTGCCCCCTGCTCTTATATTCATTAGAATGCTACAATATTTGCTTATAATGTTTAAGCATAAATGTTTTGCCTCTGCCGTGTCGAAAGTGTCAAGCCAATATTTCCTTCGAATGTGCTGCCTAATTTTTGAAATTTGTGATACGAGGACACACATACCCCAAAATCTATGTTATATGGATTAATAGTGTCAAAATTTATAATTCGATTTTTTATTCTTTCAATTTAATCATTTTCGTCTTCGTATTGAGTTGTCAATAACTTTTTCTTGTGACTTGTTTTTTCCAATTCTGGCAACTTATTCTTTGGTTAATATCTTGGATTTCCCAATGAGAGCTATAAGGACGAGTCTTTTAGTGAGTCATATCTCGGATATCACCCGTCAATCAAGCTCTGCTGCCGGTAAGAATATCATTACGTAAACTATTAAAATTTATTATTTTAGAGTATTTGATAATTATATCATCAAAATATATTTAAGTATTTGTTATAGACTAAATCAGTTAATCAAGAACTTTTATTTAAAATATGAAAATTTTATAATGTTAAAATAAAATATTAGTCATTTTTCGAATGTTTGAAATAGAATTATCAAGTTTCCAAAGTGGTCTATACAAAATTCTTCAAAAGACCAAATTCATAATATACTCTTTAATAAATAATGCATAATTTCACGCAGACGTTATATTGTGGCATGTTATATATTGGAGCAAATTAATTTGGTGAGATCAAATTTATTTTAATTATTTAACAAAAATGTATCAATTTTTATCAAACACGACAGTTCAATTATCATAATTATTAATGGTATACCTAGTTGTACCTTTAACTTTGTATAACCAAAGTCATAATTTCTAACCATCACAATAAACAGACACATTATAACTATTATTTTTAAAATTCAAGATATAAATTATACATCAAGATCTACGATATACGGATTAATAACGTCAAATTTACACATAAAATCTCTTGAACACGATTATAACACAACAAAATAGTCAAAGACAAGATGGATTTAAAGTAGAAAAGCTAGCAACAACTGTAGAAATTGTGGGATTTAGGAAGATTAAATCTCCCCATCCCATAGTTCTTCCAGGGACTTGAATGGTCCATTAGGTGATACCATTTCAGGCTTAGGCTTTAATCTGTGCTGCTTAATTTCATTGATATGTTTATAGTCGTCTGACGATAATTCCCAGTCAAAGATCCGCAGATTCTCCCTCATCCTTTCTTTGTTGAAGCTCTTAACCACAAAAGTTAACCCTTGCTCTATGCCCATCTTAGACAAACCTGTCAATTTTCAAAAAAGAAAATGAAAAAGAAAATATGATGTTATTGTCTATAATATACGACGCAGAACTAGATGGGTCGGGTTTAATCTAAGTTGAGGATGTATATAAGATTCAAATTTAATGAGTTCCGACCAATCTTATAGGATTATATTTTTTTAATTCGAGTTTAGCTGGAGTCAAATCGAGATTTTTTAAGGATAAAGTTGGGTTAGTTCGAGTTTAAGGTAAAAAAATCTTTGACCCAACTCAAGATAATAAAAAATTATTATTTTTATATATTTAGAGATAATTGTAATAATATCACTCTATATTTTTCAATTAGGTCCCTATTTTACCGATAAAAAAATAATTATATATATTTACGTTAGATTAGATAGAATTCAAATTTTTACCTAAAAAATTGAGTCAAATTTTAAATTGGATGACGGACAGAAGATATAATACTTGGGTCAGATTTGGTGGATTAGAAACCCGACCCAATTCATACTCATATCTAATCTAGACTTGTATACAACATTCATCTCTCTCTCTATATATATAAAGGACATTATAATAATTATCTGGGATCAAGTCAAAAAAATTTTATCCTAAATTCAACTGCATCTAAACTTCAACTCTCTCCCTCATAAAACTCCGGCTACTATGACCTTAGTCGAGCTATACTGCACAACTAATGTCGTTCGTAACTCTTCTTTAGGACCATAACACCATATTATTAGGATACAAAAACAAAATGATCTAAGAGGGAATATAACAAAACAGAGCCTCTTTGAGGTTGCCTATGAGTTTGAGATATGAATCAGGAAACTATTCTAAAAAATGAGTTGACAATTGATAAAGGAATTCTTATATCCTAGCACCAGAAAAAGAGTGCAAAATGTTGGTAAATTTATTATGAGCATGATACAATGAAGTTTCAGGGATTATGAAGGAAGCTTCAAGCTCAGATCGGTCAAGACTCGAGTGCATCGAATCAATATGTTTCATTTTCATATATAAAAAACTAAGAAACCAGGGTTAAAACAATTGCAGAAGGTAGCTGAAAGAAGGAATTAGAACCTGGGCAACAGTTGTTATGAGCCTTAATTGAAAAAATGATGACCAATTGAAAAATACTAGACGAATGATGACCAATTTTTACGACGACTAAATATAATTAAGAACTCCTAGTTTTGATTAAAAAAATGACCAAATTGAATACAAATATTATTAACTTCCATAGTAATATCTAAACTATCACGTCGTATCATCACATTGTATCATCAAATCACTTTGAATTTAACGGTCTAATATTTTGATTGAACCTAAATTTAGTTTTTCTTCAAAATGTTATAATGTCCAATGCTAAAATTGCATTGATACGAAATTACTTTTTGATTAACAGTATGATTTATTATATAAATAATTGAATAGAGGTAGATATAGCAGTAAAAACTTGTATAATAATTCATACTATAAATATAGAATATCATTTTTAATTAAAATATTATAATCCTCTTCAATTGAAATGCGTCCTATTCTGTCTTATCATATTTTCAGATTATAATTTTAATTTTTTAATTGATATGGAAAATTTACGATTTAAGCTCAATCCCAAACTCAAGTATATATCAAGTGTAAAATTGATCATTTTTATCAAGTAAACAGCCTTAATTGACCCTATCTGAACGAGCTTGATTTTTACCCTCAACATATTATTGAGCAAAAAGTTGAGAATCAAACTCAAGCTCAACTACGAACACTCGAATTTGACGTAATTGGTCTAATCTTCTAACGAATAAATGGTCCTCCTAATCAAACCTAACGGAACGAGCTTGATTTTTATCAAACAATTAAACACAAGCTTTAATCAGTTCAAACCGAAATCCGAGTCCTGAATTTTAAGTTTTTAAACAGGTTTCGAGTTTATATAAATAAAATTCGGGTAGAAGGTCGAGACAGACAAAGAATCTGTAGGTCAGGTTATTAGAAAGCTGACTACACGCTGCCAACTGAAATTAGATGAAATGGTACAAAAGTTACAAGGAAATCACATTGCATGCCTATGACTAACACAAACTGGGAAAAGATTAAATAAAAAACTAGGCAATGGAAAGAGGAGATATACGTGCACAAAATATTTCATGAGAGAGTGCCAAATCGCGGGTTCGACTATCGAATTGTGAGCATTGCGATAGAATAATCATTGAAACATATCTACCATACGGCATACCTATCTCGGTTTCCTCTTCATCATGCATCTCATTTGTTGCTGGATAACGAGTGACTTGCAGATTTCAAGAGGTGTTCCAGATATCACAGAGCAGAGATGTCTTTAGATGCTCGTCAACCTGTATAAACGAAATGAAACAATGAAACTCTTTGTTTCAAGCATCTTTATCGCCGAACAGGTGATCTCGACCTTGACCTCCTTCCCCTGCAAAAAGAGGTTTTGTAAAATAAATAAAGTAGAGAAACGTAAAGAGTTAAAGATTTGGACCTCCGACACTTTCACCTGAGTTTGGATTGATGATGGTTGTGTGTCTCATAAACACTTAATCTAATTCTACGGAATGTGTGGTAACATACCTGGTAGTCTCAGAAGAAGATTAGGGAGAATGCCAGCGCTGAGAATGCTTGCTATGTGGTGACCGCGAAACTTGTCTAGAAATGAAAACATACATCATACTGATTTGGTAAGTTAAAACATATAAATCGAGAAAAATGCTCAGCCTAGGCAGAGTCAAACTCGATAATGACCAGCCAGTTATGTTATTGTTTTCTTTTGGTGATAAATGGAAACCAAATACCTTCAAGCAATAACTAAGAAACTGAAAATAACGAAACCCTTAGGAAAGAGGGTTAGAATAGAAACTGACAACCAATTCTTCTTATTGAATAAATCGTATAGAAGAACAAGAGCTTCGGAACAATCAACATAGCACCATTACTGATGTTGTCAAAATCTTCATCTAATTTGCATTCGAGAACGCAAACCGAAGTCAGATGTGGAATAATAATAATAATAATAATAATAATAATAATAATAATAATAATAATAATAATAATAAATATCGGTGTAGCTATAAAAGGAGTTGAGATATAACATAAAAAGGAACAAATATTGATCACTTGAAGAAGGATAGAACTTAATATTTCCATAGTCACAACCAAACTATAACATCCGTATAGGAAAGTAGCAAACACATAATTTGACAACACAAGGAACGAAGTTTAAACTAAAAAACTATACTTGAGGAAACCATCCACTAAAATCACAAAGGAACTTGCAGGCAGAAAAGGTAATAATCAGAAGTACAACTCAAATGGAACAGAATATGAACAAGGTGCTTCATGGGGTGATAATACACCATGAAAGTTAAAGTCATAGTTCAGTACTCAGTAGCATTTGAAAAAGGTCAAGATGTTTCTTTAATTTAAGTTCCTATTAATTATCATGACAATATCTGCAAACAATAGAACAGACCAAACCTGACAACAGCTCAGTCTGCATAAAACGAAGATGCAAAACATGAATAAAAGTGATCAAGTACCAATACGTGTTACCTTCTTCTAGACTTGAAAGGAGAAGGTGATGACCGTTTTCTTGAACGTGACTTCCTGTAGTGCACAACAGAAAACAAGAAGCCAAATAGCTCAATCGAAGGACAATAAGGAATAAATAATCATTAGATCTCAATGACGAACCTCTTAGAACAGTCTGATGTTTCATCACTAGATTCATTAGAATTATCAGTGGAGTCATCCTTGCTCCTTCTGCCTCTACTGCTAATGGACAAGGACCTTCTTCTCTTGTGCCTGCTTGAGTCACTTCCATGTTTATGTCTTGATCTATCTTCTTCTTTTGTCCGTTCTCTTTTCCTGCCAACATCTTCTTTGGCACCAGCTCTATTAGATCTACTTGCATCTTTCTTGTCATCCTTGGCATCATGATGACTGGATCTTTTTCTTGAATCAGATTCCTTGGCTTTCTCTGCAGATTTAGGCTCTTTTTCTATCTCTTTTGAGCCATTCCGAGCTTCTATCTTTTTCTTCCTAAGCCTCTCATCCTCTCTCATGTAATTTTCAACTCCCTTCTGCTCTCCCCTACTCTTAATGACCTCCAACTCCCTACCACTACCAGGGTCTTTACTGAAATAACTCTTTCTACTTTCATGTCGATCATTCTTATCTGATTTTACTCTCGTTTCCCTATTTTGAGATTCAGATTTTGTTGATCTTTTACCAGCAGATTCATCAGGCAGCTCGGAATCAGATTTTTTTGTCACCCGTTCCCCTAAAGTATCGTTCATCATAGAACCATTATTTCCATCTTGCATCTTTCCACTATTAATATTACATTCATATCCAGAAACCACCTTGGAAGAAAATGATTTTTCATAGTTCCTAACTGCACCATCATCAGCAGTGTCGCTTCTGTTATCTGACTTCATATCACTTCCAAAATTCTTTTCAACTCCCCAGTGCTCATCAGGTACCGCCTGTGAATTGCCATTATCTGTTACATCACTGTCTTGTGAAAGCTTCTTACTGCTGGACTGCACAACAGCATCATTACTCCTTGAATCTGGCATCCTGGAACTTTGTGTTTCACCATCCACATCTTCATCGTCAGAGGCATAGTTTGCAAGGCCTAGCACATTGCCAGGGGAGCTTGAACTAGATTTTTCTTCAGCAGTGTATGATTCTTTCGCTTTACCTGGAACCAGTACCCTTGCAGAAGCCTTAGGAGATGGGACAAGTGAAGAAGATGGTGATACCTTGTGATTTGAAGCAACAGTGCTGTGGTCAACTGCAGTTCAGCAGTTATTTAAAAAATGGTGAAATTAAGAAAAGAGAGCATCATGAAAAAAATATCCAGGAAAAATTATCCAGATGCCAGCCTCCACCTACCGTCAACTATTGAATCTTCTTCGTTAACAACTTTGGTTGCGATTTCACTAAACAACTCATCTGTGACCTGAACAAAGGCATGGATTAGATCTACAGCACACATGCACACACAATAAAACAACCATACGTGCTTAAACAGTAGCAACCTTTAAAAGGACTTCAGTTAGCACACGTTTTATTTCCTGGTTAATAGCTGCAGTTCTAGCTGCTTCAACATAATCCTGCAGAAATAAAATGCAGTAGGTCATGTCTCAACTCTCAAGGAAATCAAATTATAACGAGAAAACTCATCTATGGCATATTGAGATATAAATGAGTTGGCAGAAATAGTAAACCTCATCATCATCATCTTCTTCAGTTGATCTAGAAGAATCAACGCTTTTGCTATCTGCTTGATCACTTTTAGCCAAGGATTTATCAACAGCTTCATCCTCAATGGATTCTGTCTCTTCTTTTGGATGTTCTAGAGAAGACTTAGCTATAGTAGCTTTGTTCCTTAATATTTCTTCCTTAAGCCAATTAGGCACAGGACCCTGGATACAATTCCATGAGAAGAAATCAGCAAAATCATCATGAAAGCTTTCGCATTTAAGATAATGATGTTCAATACCTTTTTGGGTCGTTCAGAAACGGCTCCATACATATCACCAGGAAAGGCTGCAGCAGGATGAAGTTGAGCTCCTACACCAAGACCAAAAGGAGCAGTTGCAGATGGAATATGTGGCTGAAAACTAGGCCCAGGAAACCTTGGAAATGAAGGTGCCGTGTGTCCAGAAACGGGGGAAGGTGCAGACATCGGATCATGCTGAGAAATGGATTTTATATCAGTATTACTAAAACTTTTAAATAAATAAAAGCTAATAGACAAGGATTGAAGGAAGACCTGTGCTCCAGGTGGAAGAACAGGAGGATAAACTGCATCAGGTGCAACTGGAGGAGTCCAGGAGTTAAATGAAGATGAAATAGCAATGGGATCAACGCCTCTTCCTAATGATTCATGATGAGCAGCATAATTGGATAGCATTTGTCGGTCATGATCATTATTAAACCTAGGTGCAAAATCTAAAGGCCGATCGCTAAGATCAGCTGCAGGATCTCCTGCTTGACTGCCATACGACAAAGACTGCTCACCAAGCACTGATCTCCCAATATCAGGCAATGGAGGTTGCATATGATATGCTGAATCTTGAGCTGATGAAACCGGCAAGGGCAATGACTTATATGACTGATCCTTTTCATCTGCAGACTTTTCCTTCCCTGGCATATTAAAGAGAAGTCAAATAGCAAATAAAACAAAACTTGACCTCCTTAGCAGCCCTTGGCTGTCATTCACATGAAAAGCCAAAATTCAGCAGTTCTCCTATCTGCTGTATAGAAGATATTTTGTTGACAGCAAGAGTAGCTTAACGGAGAAAAAATTATCCACTTAAATCTTTTCACCAAAAAAGATGGCTTAAGACTTTAGTATTATCATAACACAATCCTTAAAAAAGAAATATTACACAACTCTATTAATCAGCAATATGAAGCTAGAAAACATCTCATTAGTGGTCAGCTTTCCAGAATAGAGAATCCTGATAAACAGCCCAAGAACATTTTCAATTTAATCTTACTTTTTAGGCGCTCAGAGGATACAAGGAAAATATCTCATTGCGTGTTTGGATGGAGGGGAGTAGATAAAAGTAAAGTGAGCAAGCAAAAGGTTCGTGAATTTTTCTAACAGGGAGAAGGGTGTTTTAGAAATGAATCAAATACCTTCAGGTCCTCCTATTTGAAGTTCCATCAAATCAGGAGATATTGAAAGTAAAATAATTTCAAGCAGATGGTTTTAGCTTTTTAACCTCAAACTTTTACTTAAAAAAACTCATACCAGGAGGCATGCTTGTCAATATTCATTGCATATGAATTTCCACTACACTTTACTACTACCCTCACATTACCACTCAATTACTTTACCTCCTTTTATCTTACAGCATTACATATAAGTTGCCATTTGATTTTCGAAATGAAGCCTCCATTTATCATATCCAAGTATTCATATCAAAGAATTCAGCACACGATATAGTAACCTAATTGTGATTGGAGATATATTACCAACAAAACATATGCATTCTTGTGCAACTATTAAGATATCTTTCTGTTCATGTAGTATGATATATTGCATAATGCTAAGCTTGTAGTTAGCTAACTTAAAAGAAAAGCAAGCAGCAAAAATAGAACAAACCCAGTAAAGTATGTGAGAGCTAAATAAGTAGTTCCAACATTTCCAAATGTTGAAAGAAATGCCATTTCTAGGCACTTCTAAGTAGTTGGTATAACTCATGATACTTTAACTAGATAAGTGAACTAGCAATGATAATGGCAACAAATGAAACTTTTTGGCATGTTCCATAAAACAAAATGTCATTGAATTCTTTCCCCAACAATATCCATATAAAAACTTTGTAACAAGACCCGCACGGTGTTTGAACATAAGAACTATTTATATGTGACAACAGTCCAAATAACATTCATATAGCCAGCGTGGACTGATAAGAATCAACCATAGTAGGGAGTTAGTTCCACATTAACTCTCATTTTCCAAGTTTTTTTTTATAAAAGTTAGGTCTCATTAAAAACTCCATTCGTATTCGTCCACATACTAAGAAGTATGTTAACGAACATTGGAAGGAAGAACAGAGTATCACATAGTTTATTGAATAGAACACCCAATACATATGAAAACACGGAATACCCTCATACGGGGATATACACCATTACAAAAAAAGAATAACCTAAAACTCTCACATCCTCAACCACAAAACCCCAAAGAAAATCACCCAAATTCTAAGTTACATCTCCAGCAAAAGGAAAAAAACAACACAAAAGGACATAACAGAAAATAAAACCAACACATGCAACCATTATAACTAAATCAACCGCCTCTGAATAGAACTCCACTGACAGGACCATCAATTAATCTGTCCTTGCAACTTTATTGAAAAATCATCTCTTTTGCTTGCATTTCTTCACCACACGATTTCTTCTTCTTAGTTTCTCAGTGAAGTACCTTCCTGTAGTTGTATTGCGTCCCCAGATATACCATTAGAAGGGAAAAGACCCATCATAAGAACATCTTCCGAGGCATGGGGTTGACTCCATCAAAGTGGTGAACTGATTTATCAATTGGATGCTTCACAAAATTTGTGTGAATGATCCAAAGCCTCTGTTGAATGTAACCCCGAATCTAGTTTTTTACTTGATTTCTCAATATCTTTGGCAAACTTCAGTAATGAAACATTTTCAAAGTTGGTTGCTTCTATGTCAACATCTTCTTCGGAACATTTTAAACCTGAGGAGAACACCGAAGACCTTGATTGAGAATTGTCCGACGAAGCCCCAATTGAAGAAACGCGATCTAATGAGTTGTCGACTTCGTCAGAGACCCAAGACTTTGGTTTGAAGGAAGGTTCAATTTCATGCACCATGATTTTGAAGAAATTATCACCAACCTTCAACTCCAACGACTCATCAATTCTTACATGAGCCTTTGAGAGGATTTGAATTTTTTTCCGATCAAAGGATGATGGAAACTGACAGCTTTCGTCGATGGCTAATAATTTACCCCACTTATTTGCAATGTTTTTGAAAGTATCCCAATTCCAAGCGTGAAAAGGAACCCTCGCAAACTAACCACACTCGACGGCACTCCACCACCAAACTCTCTGACCAAGCTTCAACTCTGGAAAACCACTTTGCAAGAGTCTCTGATTTATCGTTCTTCACACTTCTCAACGAAACAGAGTCTTCAAAAATCATTAGAACTACATTTCCAGCAGCTCTCATTAGCGAGATAACAACGAGGTCTATGGCTTGCATTTGACTATCAAGATTACCGATTTTGATAAAGCTCTTGCACCACTCCACTAGACATTTACTCAACACGTGAAGTTTATCTTCGCCCACCACACCTTTAACTTCACAGTGATTATTTCTCGAAACAACTTCCATCCCAGACTTACGGTAAACAACTGTCGAGGACTTTATCCAATAAGACTGTCGAGGTTTGAATTTAGCTAAAAAAACACCAATTTTGCTGCCGTCAATATGAGAACCATTAATTTTTTATATCGCTTTTCTTGCTTCTTCGATTGTTGCGAAGCAAATGAACCCAAAACGAACCCCTTTTGAATTTCTTTTGTTTGGAATAAAAGAATCAATTAACCGACCGTGGGTGCAAAATAAAGATCCAAACCTTTTTCAATGGATCTTCTCTGGTAGAGTTTCAATAAAATAACGTGTATCATCCAATTCTATACCCATTAATGGTTTTTAGATGGCCATCCTTCCACCAATTATTAAACTCGATTCTCCCAATTCTTGCTACTTCACCAGACTTGTCATTACAACACCCCTTTGTGGTGAACTCCTTGGTTCCATCGTGGACAACATCTACGGCAGACCTTTCATCGTAACACCCAGCCTGAACAGGCAAATAAATGCTTGGAGCTGCTACAGGAGCTGGATTTGGCATTGTCAGCACTGGAGGAACATGATAACATCCATACGGGTCATATGCATCAGAATCTGTAACTATTCCTCTTTTAACAAATAGATTCTTCTTTGCCATCTCTATGTGCAAAAGGGACTTCGACTTGGCATCAAAAACCATTTCTTGGGGGGCATCCTTGGCAGCAACTGCAAATTTTGCATTTGAGAAAAGAGTGAAACCCATAGGCTTTTCTCCCTTGTAGTTCACTTGCGAAGCTTCAAAACATGGAAGCCATCTCAGTAAATTCTGCAGCTCTCTCTCTTTGACATCTTCAGGCAGAACCATAATGAAGATAGTACGAACCTCGTCATGATGGGAGGGGTCAGGTGACAGAGAAGCTTGGACCGGAGGCCACTGCTGGTGATAAGGGTGGATTCCAGCACCCGACATGTGAGGAATAAATAAAAGATAGGCTCCTGAAACTCTAAACCAAGACTCGAGGACGGAGAGAGATATGATCTCTCGCTTGTTGGTTTGACAGGGAGAGATTCGTCGGAACGCGAATTTTTTCTTCTAGATCTAATCCGATTTATTTCGATTTTGAAAAAAAACCAACGTTCGATCTATGCTTGGGGTGAAGAGAGGATTCAAATGGTGTATTTTTCTTCCTTTTCCGATGCCAGCAAGCGACGGTCGGAGCCTATTAACGATGACTGTCGCGGCAGCGAAGTGGTGGCCGACCACTGGGTTATGAAAGGAAAGGCGCCGGGGAGTGTGGATGAGGTTTTCAAAGAATGAAAATTTTGAAATTGCCTGGAATCTAGACTTCTCTCACTAGAAGTCAAAAAATGCGATGTAACCCAAGTTTATTTTTTTTCATATGACAAACAAAGCCATTAGGTTGACCATTAAAATTGTGGTACCACAACACAAAAGCAATCACTCAAAGAACCAAGTACATACTTCAAATAGCCATTTCTCAACTGAATCTTTGTGGAAAATTTGAATTCATGACAAGGACAAATTTGGAGCACCAAAGCATCCAAGAAATAAATAATTAAAAACTAATGAAAGGAAAGACTCTTTAAGAAAACCAACTTAGAGAAAAGAAAAACATTATGCAGTGGTCCAATCTTAGGTGAATTAACTGCATATTACTGAACCAAACTAAAACTAGCATTTTAAAAAATAATAATAAAAGGAAAAAAGCGTGAACACAATTTTAAAAGAAAAGTTACAAAGAACTAGGGTAAGACCCTTTCAGTTTATATATATCCCAGTCGGTCACATTATCATTTTAGTCAGGCTACATACCCTACACATCATGATTTTTTCTGAATGATAGTTGTTTAAGAGTTCCTGTTTAGAAGTACAAAAAAACTATTCAAAAATATAGAACGGAGTAATAGAAATCTTTGACCAATGGGTTCCAGAAAGATATTATTTCAACACAAGAAAAGGATGTGAAGAAATGTGGTCTAAAGAAGCAGTTCTTCAGCACAAGCTGCACAAGCAAGTTTACTTTACTAGGTGAAATTATTACCTGAAACTGAAGAATAACTAGAAGGTACCTCCTGCAGATGAAAAGATGAACTGGCAGACAAACTTTCTTGGTGAAGAAATCCACTGTTCGGATCCATAAGTGAAGTTCCATCTCTAACATGGTAAGGCGGACAAGCATCAGGAAAATATGAAAACGGTCTGGAGCTGTTAGACAAAGTCTCATTTGGATAAGTTGCTGGAGGGCCATGAGGAGATGCTGCCGGAACAGGGAACTGCTGATAGCTAGCAATTGGCAGTGACTGTTGAGCATCCATATAATGAGAATCAACAGCTTGTGAATATGGATCATGAAAATGATTTTGCTCTTCTGGCCTGCCAGCTGGAGTAATTTGTGATTCGACCTGCTGGTCCTGCATTGCAGCCCTAGTGTTTGCCCATTCTCTAGCTTTGGCTCCCCAATCTTCCACGTTGTTGTGGGCTGGCACCAGAAAATTATTACACAAGAAACCCATTAACACCAACATACGATAAGAAAAGCACAGGTTCAGATTACCTTTGATAATCAGGGCATTTGGCTTGTATAGGTAACAACACAGAAGTTCAGATCATACATATCACAATCGGCAACATAATTATATGGATATACAACAGCTGACCACTAGAACAATTACCATCATGGTAATAAGAAATACATTCCTATGAGTAACAATTGGTTGCCGTTCCATTTAACCATAAACAATGAGGTGCAGTAGCATCCTTTAAAATGAAGCCTGAAGTCATTCCATCCATCTATCACTTTAATTACAATTTACAATAACAAACATACAACTTGTTAATTTCAATATAAGAAGATTGCAGAGCCTTTGAGCTTCACGGTGGGTGTATAAGTAGTTAAATTAAAACACACTAAATATATAGTTATATACTCTTTGCATGTGTAGGATACAAAAGCTTCAGAAAATGCTCATATTAACTTTTATAAGGAGCAGTTTGCAGTCCCACACATATGAAAATAACAATCTAATTCTATTGAAGACGATGAAAAGGTAAATATCATGGGGAATGAAATCAGAAAACCAGTTAAATACCCACCTTGGTGATGAGACCAATTTGTATTGCTCCATTCCTATAGAATGAAAAAAGCGCAAAAAAAGTCATTGGATGAAATGAACCCAAATGGCAGTATTTTCCTTAACATTATAAATAAAAAATACACAAAAATAACATAAAAATTTGGAATTAACCTGATTGACGTGAGAGAAAGTGTTGGGAATCTGCGAAGGAGGCATGTAAGGTCTATGAACGGGAGGAGGCGGGGGTGGAAGGAAGTGGTTACTTCCGTTATGAGGGTGAGGGGGGAAAGGAAGAGGAGGAGGCGGAGGATAAGCGGAATGATCGGGATGCGGACCCCACTGGGAAGGCGGTTGCTGAGCGGAAGGAGGATGAGGAGGAGGGTGGTGCGGTGGGGCAGAATGAGACTGATTGTGATGCTGCTGCTGGTACTGAAATTGAAATTGATTGGAGTACCAAGACCCCGGCGGCGGCGGAGCAGCAGCTCTCGGAGGTGGCTGATACTGGTAATAATGTTGTTGTTGGAGATGGGGATCAGCGGGAGCAGGTTGTTGTTGCTGCGGCGGCGGCGGAGGCGGTCGCATGTAGCGGTGCGGTTGCTGTTGTTGCTGCTGATACGCGTCCATTTTGTGTATGGGAGGGCTTGGATTTTGCTGGAAATTTTCAGTAGTTTTCCTTTTGATCCGATTAAAACTCGACGGAAAAATCAGATTACGAGATGAGAGAAAGGGATTTTTTTTCTTTTCTTTTTTGTGTTGTGAGGGTTAAGTGAACCCATAGGCCATGAACCCTAACTTTCTCGTGTATAGATCGATGAAATTGATCTAAATCACGCGCCGTTTTGGTGATCACGCGCCAAGTCCCTAGACCTGTGAAAGTGGTCGGCTCATCTCTTGGCCAACGAGTCCAGCTTTGGATAATATTTTTGTAACTTGGTTTGACCTCCAAGAATTGGGCTATTTGCTATATCCAAGTACTTTTATTTTTATTAATAAAATAAGTATTTTTATTTTTAAAAATATTTTTAATATAAAAATAAAAATATATCAAAATGATCATTTTGATTAGAGAATGATATGAGACTTGGATTTATCAGATTTTAATATAACTTTGTAAGGTCGGGTCTATAGTTAATTTCAGGTTAAGTTAAATCAATTTTTAAAGGATAAGATTAGGTTTTGATTTAAGATAAATAATCTTTCGACATGATCCAAAATGGTAATATAATATTTTTATATTTAAATATAATTGTAGTATTACCCTCTTTATATTTTTTTAATTAGACCATTATTTTGTCTTATGAAAAATTAGAATTTCATATATGTGTGTCAATCTAGTGCAAATTTTTACTCTAAAAATCATGTCCATATAACATCTCTAAACCTAAATTGATCCGAATGAGAAATATAAAAGTAGAATACTCAAGTTGAATCAATTAAAATATTAACCCAACCCGACCTATATCTATTTTAAATTTCAACACTTTAAGTGTAACCTAGATAATACTATATCTCTAAATATGATATTTGTTATTTTAATTTCAATATATCAATATCAATGAGTTTTGATATATCATCTTAAAGTTGTTGATTTTTGTGAATATTATATATATACATGTAAATATATATTAATTACAAACATGTAATATATCTTAAATTTATGTTAACAACTTTTATAACAGGTGATCAAAAAATTTTAGTTGACATATTTTTTCTCTTTTAAATTATAAATTCAATATTCATTAGAAGTAAAATTATTATTTTTCTATCTCTACTAAATAAAAATTGTTCAAAAAATATATATCTAAAATTTATTGAGTTTTGATATATCCTTGGTATGATATATATATATATATAGTATTGATAATATATACATGTAACTATTAAAACATCGTACAAAGGTTTAAAAAGAACTTTATTCGAACAAGCATACATCAAACCATGAACTTTCTTATTAATTAACTTAAAAAGTTAAAAGTAGAGATATGTATGGATTAGAATTAAATTTTTGATCTATTCAAATTTGATTCAAGCATATTTTTTATCTATCATTTGATTTGATCTAAATTTAAAGATATTCACTTAATCTGAATTTAATCCAATTTTTAGATAAAAATCCACATTCGATTTGATATATATATATAGTTTTATTTTTATGAATATTATTATAATCATCCCTAAATATATAAAAGATTATTCAATTATTTTTAAATCAAATCAAATTAAAAATTATTCACAATAAATTTAACCTATTATTTAAAAATTACTCAATCAAATCTGATTTATTTTTTAAAATTAATTTTATAAAATTAGATTAAATCAAAACCTACCACGTCCAAATCTTATGCTCATCACTATTCATAAGTAATAGGGGTGTGCAAATTCGGCTACCCGAATCTTTGAGTAATTGATTTATCAGCCTGCGTCCCGACTCGGATGTTGCGGGTACCCGAATACCCGGGTTTTTTTTTCCAAATTATTAATTAAAAATACACACAAATTTAAATGTTCGAAACTTCGAATTACATAGTTCAACATCCAAACATAATTAAAAAATGTTAGTCCGACATCCAAACATAATTAACAAAAATGTAATGTTAGCATCATTGTTCATTTTTAAATATGGGTGACCAAAATAGAATCAAAACGTAATGTTAGGTATAATTTTGAAAAAATAATAATCGAATGACTAAAACATAAATTAAATAATATATAAGTGACCAAATAGATAGTTTACCATAAATAAAAATGTATATATGAATTATATTAGATAATATATAAGTGACCAAATAGGTAGTTTACCCTAAATAATAATCGAGTGACCAAAACATAAATTAGATAATATATAAGTGACCAAATACGTTGTTTACCCTAAAAAAATCCCTAACCGGGTACTCAGGTAACCGGATACCCGAAAAAATTCAATTTTGTGACATGGGCCCAACCCAAGAAATGTTGGGTCGGGTACCCGACCCGACCGGGTAATTTTTTTAGAAAATTACCCGAATTTTTAGGTTCGGGTCGGCGGGTCAACAGGTAGAGTCCAACGGGTCTGGTATTTTTGCACACCACTACTAAGTAGCAAGTTGTGATGGTCACATAGGTAAAATCGTAAAACCCTAAGGGTAAACCTATAAATGGAAAACCTCGCCCGTTTTCTCACACTATAATATAATCCCCATAAACCCTAACCATAATATCATTTCCTTCAGCCGCCAATAACCTTTCACCTTTCTAGATCCACACCAAACCACATAATGACAAACTGCTTAAAAAACTGCAATAAGAGGGCATCCACGTGAGCACCGGTCACGACCGTATCAAGAAACACCGCAAATAACCCAGAGGTCGGGGAAACACTGGAAGCATGCACCACCATAGGATCCTATTCGAAAAGTATTACCCTTGGTATTTTGGGAAAGTCGGTATGAGGTATTTCCAAAAGCTCCACAACAAGTTCTATTGCCCCATCGTCAACATCGATAAGCTTTGGTCTCTAGTCCCATAGGACGCGAAGGTCAAAACCAACAAGGATTCGACGCCGATGATTGACGTGACTCAGTATGGATACTTTAAGGTGATCGAAAAAAATGTTTTGCCAGAGAATCAACCAATCGTTGTCTAAGCTAAATTGGTATCAAGGACTGCTAAGAAGAAGATTAAGGAGGCTGGTGGCGCTGTCGTGCTCACCTCTTAAGTTAGGTCTTTTTTTCTTTGGATCTGAATGACACTTATGTTATATTATTGGCATCTTTCGTATATTTTTGGAGTTAATCTTGAAATGATAATTTCTATTAATACCCTTAATTTTGGATTAAACTAAGTTTTGAGTAATGTTGGTATTATTGAATTTTGTCAATTTAGTTATATGATTAATATTATTTGCTTCAAATTTGAGTTGAACAAAGGTAAGCCATGGATATTTCAATGTAATAGACATTGTTGGAACTGCAACACCCAAAATTTAATTAAAAGAAAGTTGAGGACCAAATTATAAATTTTTAAAAGTTTGTAACTCAGTTTTGGAACCTGTGGAAAGTTTAGGAACTTAACCTTAGGGATTTGGTGGCTGAAGGGGCTTGAACTCGTGACCCTAGGGTCATGGGTGCTCATGCCATGGCCACCAGGCTAGGCTCCTATTGATGATTTATTTAATAAAATATATTTTTATATCAATGTTGTTTGGGTTATAACCCAAAATCAAATCAGAAAAACCCTGATTGTAAACCATCCCCAAACCCAACCCATTTCTTCTAACTCAAACCACCCCATGTTACTCTCCATTCAGCCTCCTCCAATCGACGGTGAAGTGCAATGTCGCGTCCAGCGAGCTCAACAGTAGCCTACAATCCAACCCCGACCCTTAGTTTACTTGGATCGGCCACTGTCTATCGTGAAACAGGAGAAACCCGTTGAACCCTCATTACCTCCATTAAACGCATTTTTTGATCGCCTCAATCGTCCTCTTACCTCACTATCGTCGCCACTGTGTTCACTGGCTATTTTCGATTACACATCCTTTGGGTCACTCCGTCGCAGTCGCGTGCGCATGGGGTTCCTCCCTATTCTTAGAATATTCTAGAACCGGTTCGAGTTGACTCGAATCAGTATAAGTCAACTTGTACCAAATCGAGTCAACAAGAATCAACCTGAGTCAACAAGAACCGCTCTGACATGTTGAATTTTACTCTAACCATTAACATGCCCGTTGAATGTTTGTTGAGTTAATCGATTGACGGAATCGGCCAAGAGGGGGTGAATTGGCAATTAAAATTTTGTGGAAGCTATTGCAGAAAATTGAAAGTGATTGCACAACGATTTAGAGTGGTTCGACTTTATCAACTAAAGTCTACGTCCATTACCTTAGCCATCACACTAAGGATTTTCCAACAAATTCACTAATTTATTCTTTCTTTTGAGGCCAAAGAGATAACCTTACAACTCCCTCAAGAATATACCCCAATTCTTGAGAACACTCTTTTCTCAAAGAGAAAATTACAAATTTGCAAACTTACAAGAAAAACCTCACAAGGCAAATATGTTTGCACAATTCTAGAACAAAGAAAGAACACTCAAGAATAAATACAATTGAGCACAATAAGTGTTCTTGAAAGCAAAATGAATATTGAATGAAAAATAGGCTTGAAATGCTCAAAGTTGAGGTTTGATGCTTTCTCTTTGATTCTTTCTTGATTCTAGTTGCTTGATGTTTCTTCTTATTGATCAATGGCTTCTAAGCTTGTTTAAATACACCTTGAATCACTTCTGAATGTTGGGGATCATTAATGAAGTTATTGGAGTCGTTTAAGTGTGAAAACAATTAATACAACAACTTGGAGCGTGGGGGGAATCGGTACCCCTCATGGGGAATCGGTTCCCTAAGTGTAAAATTCAAATATTTCGACCGTTGAACAGGGGGAATCGGTTCCCTCCGAGCATACTGGAATTCTCGGAGCCAAACTTATTCAAGAGGGAATCGGTTCCCTCTGAGCAATCTGGAATTTTTGGCTTTGAAATGGTTCGAAATATTTTGTAAAATCGTTTTGAAATTATTTTAAGATTAAAACTTAATTTTACACTTGAGTAAGGATTTAAAATGAACTTTGAAATACTTTGAGTAATATTTTAATATTCGATTTAATATATCGAATATGCTTAGAAAAATCATTTTCAAAATTAAAATTCTTTTAATTTAATTTGTTATATCGAAACAAAAAAATGTTTTCAACAATCTCCCACTTTTTGATATAACAAAACATTTTAAGATTTTCTA